GTAATTACATTTTAATAGAACAGGAGACTTTCATGGCTATAATGCAGTGAGACAAATAATACATTAATTTTTGGATGTTTGTTTGTTGGGCTTTTTGTTTTGTCTTATGAAGTTTTACAAGTCTACTGTCCTTTAGCAAATCATGAGTAATAATGTCTGTTTCAGAAATAAGTCTTCAGCACCTATCTCTAAGAAGGAAGATTGTCAATATAAAATACCTTTGATTATTTGACTTGGTCTTCTAAAGAACAAAGTTAGAGACATTAGAGTCCATCACAGTGCATGAAAGTCTTTCCTGTGTCCCCATTTGCTTATTTTACTTTGTTGTCACCAATTTTGTTCCGAAACAGGGGTTTAATGTTAGAGAAGGTAGGTGAAACCACCTTTGTTACCACAAACAGGGCACTCTATAGAAAAGCAAGAGAGGCTGCGAAGAACACAAAGTTGTGCCAGGGTTGGAGATGAACTCATGTGTGGGATGGGTAGCACTAAATGATGATATTGAAGAAAGAGGGAATTATCTGAGCAAGATAATCATAGCCTCGAATGTGTTCAAGCAAACTAACAATTCATACTTCTGAAAGGAATGAAATTTTTAAGATTGATTCTTAGAATATTTTAGCAGTTAAAATAAATCTTGTAAGGTGGAGTGGTGCAAGTTCAGTTCAAGTTATAACCAAACATGGTTGGTACCAGTAGGAATGGTTCCATCAAAGGCAGACACTGAGTGGATGTTCCTCATAGTTGTTTACTGTTTCTCACAGAGTTTGCTTTTTTGTTTCTTTTTGACGTACACTCTGCACTGCACTGTACTGCAAGGGTCTTCCTCTGCTGATGCACATGCTGTATGTGTGTGTGCAGGGGCTGGGCTGAACCCCCTGAGTCACAGATTTGTTGGGCAGAAGAAGAGGATGATACTCCTGAAGATGTGAATAGGGCTTGTTATGGGCTTAATTTGGGTAAGTCAAAAAGTTTACAGTCAAACAGGAACTCCCTCACAACCTACCTGTCATCTCCCAATTAAAAAACAAACAAACAAACAAACAAAACAGTAAATTGGGGTGGGGAAGAGGAGTGTCAATTTTTTTGCCCAAAGGAAAAATGGAGAATTAAAGAGAGCTGCACAGGGTAGTACTGTAATATGTGAGTTTAGGTCATTCTGTGAGATGTTTTGTCTTCTACCAAGAAAGATGGCAGGTGAGGGATTAGCTTCACTGTCCCCTGCATTTGCTTTCTTGTGTAATCATGGGGAAATGCATTCAGTGTGCGAGGGGATCATTGCCGTCCTGCTGTTTTACCATTTCTTTATGAGATAATGTTGATTTCAGCAATGAAATGCAAATTTAGTTTACAGTGCTGCTTTTCTCCATGTAAAGATTAAAATGGACATTGTACATAATACTGTTGGTGGAGCTTTTGAAGCCATCTTTGTCGGCTAATTTCAGCAATACATGGTTTTAAATGTTCAATGCAACTGCGTGAGTTTTATGTTGGACTACGTGAACTAATTTTAACCCAACATGCATATTGTTAATCATTTTGGCTATAATTTAATAAAGTCATCACAAAAAGAAATTGAGGGTGTGTTGAGAATACTTAATATATTGTGTGCCTTCTGTGTGTTATGGGAAGCTGAACATACCATTATTGAAGTTGAGACATCTTAACTCTATAATCATAAAATTTTTCTAACACAGGGGGCTAAGAAATACTCCTAGGAATGCAGTTGCTAATGGATTCTGTGTTTGGAGGGAATGTTTCTCTTTAATTATAAATAAATAGTTTGTATTACTGGTAATAAAAGGGCTCAAAATTGTTAACAAGTCTTGTTACAATTAGCCGCAGTGTAGATTATAGACAGCTCCATTTCCTAAATGCTGGGGCTCCAACAGCAGAAAAATACATGCAGGAATGAAAATAGTTTTCAGCTAGCAAACAAGTTCTAACATAACAGCAAGGCCAGTACTAACGGAAGTTGTCTTTTTTTTTTTATTGTTCTCTCTTTAATTTATCTCACTTTCCTGTATAAACTGCTGGCTATTGTGCAAAGAGGGGAGAGGGTGTGTGTTGGCTTTGGTGACATTGTTTTACTCCCATGAAGTAAGGCTGTACGCCGTTCTTTTCAGCGTGACTCTACTTCAGTGTTTTTTTCCCCAGACTGCATGAGCCAAGTAACATTTCGCAACTAATAACAAATCCCATTTCTGCTTCAGGTGTTATGACAATAAATTTGCTGTTGCAGTTAGTAAAAAGATTATATGGTAAAAGGAGTGTGTGTTTTTAATATATTTAGTATGAAAGAGCAAAAAGATGGGGGAGAGGTTTTTATGAAATGAGATGTTCTGTTGTAGACAATATTGGAAAATAGTTCTGAAAATGCTGATTTGGAGTCATGAGTGAATAATGTTTAAAGTTTATCAAAACTGAAAGAACTGATGGGAATTGAAGCCTCCTAAGAAAATTCTGTTCTGTCGCTGTTTTGCTTTGCTGTTGTCGCATGTCATGCATGAATGAAAATGCTGCATTCTCAGGGGAGCGGTAAAGCTTCTGTGTAGGTTGTTTATTTCCTTAATCCCTCCTTCTTCGTGATTTCCAGTGTCAGATATAAAATGGAAAGCCTGTAAATATAGTGATTATCATACTGATTATCACCTGCATCAGGGAACGCACTGGCTAGCCGTTGTAACCCTAACAGCCTCCACATGTTACAGCCACTTAGATTTTAACCTGACTACTTTATTAGAGAAGTGAAGCTCAGTATGAGGTGCCCTAGGGCTGCACAGATGGGTTCTGCTTGTTTCCTGTTCTCACTGTTATTGTGAATAGATACTAAAAGGTTCTTGTCGCTTTTATCTGGTTAATTTACTTTGAACTGTCCCTGGCATTCAGGACCTGCCTCCCATTTCTCACCATTTTGCAAACACCAAACCGTAGTCCCCAAATGTGTGTTTTGAGCTTTATTATCTTTTTTACTGGAAGGGCCTTAAAATCTTAAAGGGATGTAATTCTGAGAGAGGCTGATTCTTAGGGGGCTATAAGCACAGTCTTTCCTGAAAGAAGCTGCTCGGGAGTTATTTTGAGGTTTGGTTGATAGGAGAGAAGAAAATAAAGATTGCTGTTGGTTTTTTGGCATGTTCAGACACCTTTAGATTAGAGGTCGACTGCGGGAAAAACTATGATTTTATGCTAGCTACCATGATTCATGTAGCTGGGCAGCAGACCAGGCTAAAAGATGACGCTCTAACAGGAAAATCCAAAGATGAGATACTTTTTAACAAATGTGCAATCATTTATCTTTTCTTGTGGAAGGGACAGGTCTTCCAAACCATATGTGCTGCCCCAGTACAGAAAATTAAGATGAATGTTCTTAGTCTCCCCATAAGGTAACACTACTTAACTGGAATAGTTTTTGTTTCATATACTGGTGTCCAGTTTCCTGGCCAAACAATAGTTTAACACACATGTTAATGCCCTACTGCATTGGGACATTAAAGAAATCCCCTTAGGACAGATCAGTGTAACTTCCAATTTCAGTTGCATGACCAAAAACCTGAGATTAAAGAAGTAAGTTGGCTACAGTACATAATTTTTAGTCCATTTTCTTATCCTCTGCCTTCTTACCACTCCCCCTTTTTTTTTTTTTCCCTGTGTCCTGGTCCCATCTGAGGCATTCTTGATTGTGTTGCAGTTCATTGTAAGTGCATCACTCAGAATGGAAGCTTGCAGGCTCCTTTTTTCATACGAGCATAGGCTTTGTTAATCACATGCTGGTTTAGGAAAACACTGCATGATATCTTTGAACCCTACACTCCTTCTTGACAGCCAGGCTAGCAAATGTCATTGACTGTGTGATGTACAAGAAGGAATTCAATTGTAAGTAAATTGTCAAAGTGGCTAACCTTGCCCGCACCCAATTGTCAGGACCATGATTCAGTTTTTCTGTCAACATCAGCTAAGGCTAACCCGGTCAGCCTTATGTTTCTGCAGTGAAGCAGCCCGAGGAGTTGTGCTTTTCAGCTCATCACATTTTATTAACCTCAACTTACTGTTGTTATAATCAATTGCACCCACTTCAGATTCTTCTGTTGCCCCAAACTGGCAGATTATATAGGTCCACAAGTATGTATTTTCTACAGCAGTAAAAGTTGACATAGGGACACTAGACTTAAACTGTTGGCTACGGTAGTTATTTTTGTTTAGTTGGATCAAGTCACCATTTTGGCTCAAGACATATCTCTATTAATATCACTTGGCAAAGATAATCTGGAAGAATGAAAGTTAAAACGTAGAAACTTTGAGGGTTTCTGCAGTGCTTGCAATGTTGACAGAAAGTGAGTAAGGGAAAAATACTGCTGTTGTCTTCTGTCTCCTTGCTTTTGTTTCAAAATAGTTTTTAATTGCTCCAATTAATATAAATAAGAAATGAGGACATTCTGATACCCTGACGTTTCCTCTGTTCTTTCAGGAAAAGAGCATGGTTAAATTGCCTAAAGCAGTGATTAAGACATCAGAGTATTTTAAAATGCTCATCTGATTTCCACCACAAGGGTTTGAAAACATTTGTGATCCTATTTTTTTTTAATGCACTGTAGATGACAAATGATTTTTTAAAATGGCTTGATAGCCTTTATCCCGTGAAGTGCCATACATAAATGGAGATCTGATAACAATTTCAATTAAAAATATGTCTGAAGGATGTTTGTCTGAATTTGATGTAGTGGTTTTCCAGTCGAATTCCTATCTCCAGAAGTAACTTTCCTCGCCTGGAAAAAAACATACTTTACCTTCTTTATTTGAAGTTGTGAAATGTGTTGACATTGTACTGTTGTTGGGCTTGAGGGAAGGAGGGGGAAGCTTTCGGTGCAACTATCAGAACTGAACAACTGTATATGGGTATATTGAGATAATCGTGTAAAAGGAAAACTGAATGAGTTTCAAAATGTGTTATTTCTTCATTATCTAGCACTTCATAATTAACTGTTCTTTTTTTATTATTTCAGGAAGCTGCCACTTTTGCTAGAGAGCAAGGCTTTGAGGTGAGTTAACCCACAATTGCACACTAAACAGATCCTAAAGGTTTTTTTCTTGCTGATAATGAAGTTCTTTTGGACAATGATTGATGTGCTATTATACTCTCCAAGCCTCGCAGCAGTTGCCATGGAAACTTGGCAGTCGTCATGGTTTCTTTGTTCTGCCAGCTCAGTGTTATGACGCACTCTGCTAGGTCTGCACCCAACATCGCCTACAGATGTTATTTATTGAATTTTGAAAAGCCTCTTGGGAAGCCGAGAGGTTGGGCACGGTTTCAAGCTGCCTCTGCAGATATGGGACCTGTCAGTTTGTTCAGTTAAAAAGCTACCTCATTAGCTGCATTACACTCCATAAGGATTCACTGCTAAAGCAGTGGTGAGGCAAGACTAAATAGTGAAATATAACACCACTTAAATAACTTAAACCCTGCCATATGCAGATTATCATTATGCAAATGCATTTTAGAAAGGTTGCATATAAAATTGTTAGGTTCCGATTACCGTAAACCATGCTTCTCCAAACAGCTTCTTTTAGGAGGGGTAGTGTGGAATTTGTTGCAAAACGTGTTCGAGTTGGTGTTTTCCATCTGTGCTCTAAAAATGTATGATCCTCTACTGTCTTGAAGTAAACACTGTTGATTATACAGTGATTTTCAGAGCTTTTGATTTCATCTTCTTGAGGTATTCATTTTAATAGTATCTCCCATTGGCTAAACTCAGATAACTTAATCTGGAGAACTATCAGCCATTGGTCTCGAATACTGAATTCAAACAGGCAGGTTTTAAATACTATAATTAACGTGACAACAGTTGTGCTAATTTTGCAGATAGTAAGCGATCTTACTGAAATCTAAATTGCAGAACTGAACGCACATAAATCCTTTTATGTGTTTTTTCACTGGAGTAAGACCCACCTTAATTGATTTGTTTGCAATGAAAAAGAACAGCTAGGAGTTTGCCTGCTCAGCACCCGTTTTGCATAGATAATAGAAGCCGCGCAATTCAAACCCCGTTGCCTTAAGAACGTGCCGCTTTTGTGTGTGGATGGGTGCATATAAAAAAGAGGGAAAGACTGACAGCTTTTGTTCTACAATTTAGATTTCTTTAGAACCATACACCAGCAGGTACATCAATGCCGTCGGTGTTTTAGATATTAAAGCTGTGGGCAGTCCCATTTTGTTTTATGTTTCCCAAATTCGTGTGGCTGCTTTGTAGAAATCAAGACTTTTTATCCCTGTCAGTTTTCATTTGTATAATCTGTACTGTTAGCATAAAAATACACTTTTGAGTTTATTCTATCAAATGAATGTATTTCACAGATGCCTCCAAATATAATATGAAGCATAACAAATTATTGGTACCCTCTGGTAGCTAGACAATAAAAAAAAAGGAAGTAGTGTATTAAGCCTACCCATTCTATATTTTTATTGGCCCCTTGAGCTAAAGACTTTGAATGTGCCTGGTTTAAATTCAGTTCTAGTGACAAACTCCTTTTTGCTAGTGTCTACTATCTACCATCATATTAACCTTTCCATTAGTGCTTGCTTAGAGATTTTAGCACAGTTCTTTCTGAACATCCTAAATCTGCCACATTTGATTACAGCGTATCAGTAAAGTGCACAATGATTATGATCTTATCTCTTATTACACCCTTGCATGGCAACAGCTCACATATCAAGTTTACTGACAGATCTGTAAAACTTGATCAGTGTCCACAGTCTTGTTTTCCCATTGTGCTGTGGAGGCAAAAAAAAATCACACACTACTAATAATGTTTCTTAGGAAAAACATAAAGAGTTTCAGTTAAGAACAGGAAGAATCTCCAACAACCTTCAAAGGCTTGTAAAATTCATTCTGTGATTTATATTGGGAATAGAAGACTGGCAAAACATGGAAAAGGAAAGGAAAGGACTTAAGTGACCAGAGCAAAAATCAAGATTATATTTATCATAGAAGTAATGAAAAGTTGTTCATGGCTGAATTTGAATTGCAGCCTGGAAAGAATTCTGGTTTTTAAGAAAAATAATCTGAAATATTTTAGCATAGACAATCATCTGTGACTAGCTTCTTTTTTTTTTTAATAATCTCCTTTTCTACGAGTACTTTCAACAGTTTATGTGGACTAAATACATCTTTTAGACATGGATTGACATTAGTCTATGTGAAACAGTTTTTGAAAAAAAAAAAAAAAAAAAGTAGTACAATCAAGTCAACTTCAGGAAAAAATGCACCTTTTCTGAAAAATAAAATCTTGCCATAGGGAGGAGAAAACACTTCCATGACACAAATCTCCTTTTTTCTTCATAAGAAAAATCACATTCAAAGGAATTTTTATACTTCATCTTACCAAGAGTTAGTCTTCCATTGTACTTTTCTGAAATACAAGGTATTTTTCTAAAATCAGTCACAATATTTGAAGACCATTATTTCCTTTATTTTATCTCCTCACCAACACTTACCTGTAATAATCCAAAGCAGGACATTATTTCTGATGCAGTCCCTTCCTGGAGTGCATCAGTGGTTTTATTTTTGTGAATTTCCCATTCTGTGACTTTTAAAATCTACTAAATGAAAAGTGAATTCACTGTCTGTGAATACAGTGCTTCATCCTGATTGTATGTTGCAGTCATCCCAGTAATCCATTATAATAGTCACACTTTTTGTCCCAGGGAAGCTCTTGAACTTGTTTCCCCTTGAAGTGGTAGGATGATCGTCAGTATACTTTGCTGTATGTTTGTAATAAGTTTCAAATAGCAAAACTGCCAGGACAAATGTTTTTATAAATGGTAACTTACTATTTAGTCTGTGTAAGAATTAGGAAAACAAAACCCTACTTCAGCATAAAACTTAAGATTCAATTCTGTCATCAACCCAAGAAGTAAAGTGTATTGAATGGAACAGCAGGTATCTAAGAGGTTAGTAGCAGCTACCATGCCAAACAATTTTTCCTGTTAGAGGCAAGGGCCTCCTCCTGAGTATGTATTGCTTGGGGAACCAAATTAAGGAGTTTTGCTACCCCGGACCAGATTTAGGTCTTCAAGTTAATGAGGTACACTGCACAGGGCTGCTGATTTCAGTGGATCGATGCCTGTTTAGGTCAAGGCTATGATAGCCCTGGCTATTGTGTTATCTCTTCACAGGCAAAGATCAGAAGGCATAGTTTGACAGCAGTTTTAACTGTGTGCAGTTTTTCACATACCTCTGTCTGATCCTGGGATAGCTGATGTACTTTATTTACATTCGTATTATCCACTTCCTTGCTGGAATGAATGGCACATGCACAGTATTTCAGGGGCAGCATCAATGGGCAAATCATGCTTTTGTGAGATTTGTGTGTCAGCTTTGTTAAATCGGATTCAGGTATGTAGCTGGATATGTGTGAGTATCCTGTGATTTTTGGGGCATGTTATAGAGGCTTTAGGACCATAATCCAGTACAGTCTCACCATTCCACCGTGTCTGTAGATACACGATGTTTAAGACAGTGTTGACAAGAGTGCAAGTATGAGTCAGTGCAAAACAAATACTATTAATTTCAGCTATTTGAAAATATAACATATATTCTGAACAGAAATAGGAGTGGACAACATTTCATGATGTTTGCCTGACAATGAAATGAAGAGCATAGTACCTCTACAGTCTTCAGCTGTAAATATTCACATACTACAACACATCACAGTTGTACCTTCAAAATACAACATAATGCTAAGGTGGAGACGTATTGTGGAAGAGTTAAAGCCTGCTCAACACTGAGGTTGCAGCTCTTCCACTATATAAGCTCTATTTTAGTCTTTTAATTTGAAAAATTTCAGTATAGAAAATTATTTTGGCTAAAAATGGCGAATTTAATTCTGACAGAAGATGCTCACTTACTTTTAAAGTCTGTACAGACACAAGTCTCTAAACTACTGTTTTAAAATTTCAGCTTTTTAAAAATTTGTCTTTTTTTCCTCTTAATACCTTCCTTCTCCTGTTGCATGCTTACTCTTTGCTTAATTAGTCCTGAAAAGATATACGCTTTTTACTTTCTTTTGCTGTCTACTTTATTTCATCCTTTACCTTGATTCTTCACTAATCTTTCTCCTCAGGGTCCTCCTTCCTACATATAAGTTCATCTTTATTCTTCTTTAAACTGAAGAAATCATCTCTTGATTGTGCCACTCTCCTATTATAGCTTCCTCATCTTCCTTTAAAAATTCCAAGTGTATATATGTACATTGCACAAATACCTTCAAGCTCTTTGATTTTTGTTCCTCCTTTGCTCCACTGTAAATATGCTTAATGAAGTCACTAGTAGCCACTTCCTACTTGGCAAAGAACTAAACACCTCTCTTCTGTTTGCTTTGATCTCCATAATGCTTTATTGCGTTTTGTAGCTCTTGGATCTCTTCATTATCAAGGCCTGAAATAGTTCAGAGTTAGGTGGACCCTCAGAAGACTACATATTACCAAGCTGGAGGGTGTAATTCCCCACCCATGCCTTTCCACAGCTCGTGCCACCAGCTGACTTCCTACTTGGCAAAGAACTAAACACCTCTCTTCTGTTTGCTTTGATCTCCATAATGCTTTATTGCGTTTTGTAGCTCTTGGATCTCTTCATTATCAAGGCCTGAAATAGTTCAGAGTTTAGGTGGACCCTCAGAAGACTGCATACTACCAAGCTGGAGGGCTGTAATTCCCCACCCATCCCGTTCCACAGCTCGTGAAACCAGCTGATTCTTGCTATTCACAAAAAGACGTTTCAAAACAGAAGACCAGTAATTTCATTTTTTTTTACTCTTAGCATTTTTAAGGGACTCCTTGCCTTTTGAGAACTGGGGAAAAAGTGGCCCCTGTTTCAAAACAGAAGACCAGTAATTTCATATTTTTAATCTAGCATCTTTAAGGGACTACTTGCCTTTTGAGAACTAGGGAAAAAGTGGCCCCTCTACCAGCTGATTCTTGCTATTCACAAAAAGACGTTTCAAAACAGAAGACCAGTAATTTCATATTTTTAATCTAGCATCTTTAAGGGACTACTTGCCTTTTGAGAACTAGGGAAAAAGTGGCCCCTCTTCACTTTCCTCAGACCATGCAGAGAGGTCCAAGGTTATTTTTCTTCTCTGGTGGAAGGTATTGCCTTCTAAAAGCTGTATTAATAGAGGAAGGAGGAAGTAACATGATTGGGAGTGTAGTATATGGAAATGAAAAGTGTAAGAGGATTTTAAAAATACTTACAGAGGCCAAGAAGTAAAGGGGAAATTATTTTTGTTTGGCAAATATGTATAAGTCACTGAGTTCACTGACTATCAGAAGTGGGGGAGAAATTAAACAGAGGCTAAAAGTATTGCAAAAGAGCTAGATAATTTTCATATAATTAGTCACTAGTAAATATATAGCCCAGGTATATTTTCTGTCTTTAAGAAAGGGAAGTGCTTGAAGATCAACAACATTATCAAAAATCAGCAAATAACCACAAATGAATGGCATGCAGATTATAGTTCTTGAAGTGTATTAACTAACTTGCTGATGAAAAAAAATCAATCTAATGTTAAAATTGGCAGTGCAGTCAAAGTGGCGTGCACTGTACCAGGGTTTCAAAGTAATGCTAGATGCTGATTTTGGCAGATAAAAATCAATTTATTAATAAAATAAGTTGTAGCAGCTCTGGTAAATTACTTGAAACCGCTCTGAACAGCTTTATAAATGAATTCTATTCATTATGTAATTGTGTTAAAAAATTAGTTGTGATTCATAATGAAGAGTACACAAAACAATGCAGAAATTCTTGTTATGTTTTCATATTTTCAACCCTAGGCCCTAACCAAAACAGCTACATTTCACTACAGTTGCTTGTAGGCAAGAGTAATGTGGGAAAAAAGTATGGTGTTAATACAGATAAGAATACAGGAGGACATAGTAAGTAGCACAGAGAGTAATTAAAGTCTTTCTTAATTTTCCCAATGTGTAAAAATAAAGAAATAAATTTTTAAATTGTGGCAAGAACTAGGTTTACATATTCCAAACCTAATTTGTAGAACTTACTTGAGATAAATATAAGAACAAAAGCTTCCCACACAGCATTATAAAAGGATTTGATACTTAGACAAATAACACGAATGCCTATATTTAGATTAGGTTGAAATCTAAGTAAATTAGAAATTGAAATCCTTGTGTTTCATATCATAGGGCAACTATGAGAATAGAAAGGCTAATATTCTACTGACGAGTTGTTCTGTCTGAGTTTCTTGCATCATATTAAACATTTTAAACTTGTTGCTGTCAAAGACATTAGATGGATGAGAGGTTTGAGCCGGTATGCCAGCATCTCTGTGCCTAGCTACATGTACTATGGTATACAAAGTCCCTTTAAAGCAAAGATTCCTGAAATTTTTGCAGCTTAGCCTTACTTCAGAAAATCAGGGATGTTCTATGTCCCACTAAATACAGCTTTCACCCATTGCTTCCTTGCTTCTCATTCATGCAACCAGCTGGTGAGCACAGAGCGTATTTACCTGGGCTCCAGACCCTGCAAGGTGCTGCAGCGTATGGGCACTTCACTTGCTGGGATCAGTTGCTGCAAGGGAGTTAGAGAAGCAGTATTTGTAATCCTGATGAAATCAGATGGATTACACTACTTAAAACCTGGCCAAATTAGATGAAAACCAGGCTCAGAGTTTATCCAAAGTATTCTCTTACCAATTTTATTTTAAATTTTACGATAGGTAGGGTTAGAATCCAGTCAGCACCAAAGAAGCCCACTAATTACTCATTAGGAAATGCTCTGTAACTCCTTTGTTAGCTTTGCAGTTTTGCAGCAATCGGAATAGCTGAACTATCATTATCAAGATTAAAAACAATAGTCTCATAGTACTACATAAATCTTTAGGGGAATGAAGTATTTCTCCTTTTAAAAATCTTCCTTTACTGACAGTAAAGTCTACTTTATACCTAGCTGTAAGAAAATAAGTCTTTGATCTGCTCATAAAGTTCTAATCTCTCATTGCTCCAGTATGCTGGTAACAAGAATTTTCTTTCTAACGATAGACTGAAGACATTAAAGAGATAGCCCGGAAGACACAGGCCCTGCCAAAGGTGAACACCAAAAGGCAACGAATCGTAGTCTTCACCCAGGGGAAGGATGATACTGTAATGGCTACAGGTATGTTTTTCAAATCTCCATAAATATCCCAGTTAATCAATAACAAGTTGCAGTTCTACAAATGATAGCTGTTGAATGGTAGTCAGACCATTTGCCTTTTGATGGTAATCCGTGTTTCTGACCTATTAGGCTTTTAATTGCTTTAAGATTCTGAATTTAAGACGTTAATATTTCAGAAGAATGCCTGAGAATTTAGTTTTGAACATCTTAAGTTCTCTTTTTGTAACATGGAGCTAAAATATTGATCCAGTTGGTTTTACTCAGATATATATGACTTGAGATTTTATCTGTGTAGCCATCTTTGCTGCAAACAAGAACACACTAATGCCTGCTGAGAACAGCTGTGAAACAGTATAGTATATTTAAACATTTGTGAAGAGGAGGAAGTGAAATCCAGTACTAAGTGAATTTCCAGGATTTTTTGCTTTGAACAGAAAGTCTTACTTTAGCTTTTCTCAGCCGTCTGCTCTTCTATTCTCAAAGGAGTATGTGGGAAAAAGGTGTTCTAGCAGGGATACAAGTAGTTTGTGCTGTCTAAACTGATGATGTACGACACACAGATTTAAGCATTATAAACATGACTGCCTACCTTTTGACAGTCTCTTTAATTCTGTCCACCAATGCTTCTAGACTAAATCAAGCTATTAAAAACATGTGCTGTGGCAAGCCATTTTAGTTGTTCATTCCTTCACAAGGTAAGTTATTAGTCAGGGCTGAATTCCTCCTTTGGAAATCAAGTAAAGTTGATGAAGCTTTGCACCTGAGGAAGGGGTGCTTACTCATACGATATTTGCCTCAAAATCAGAATTGGCGTCAGACTGTGGCTGCAGGGCTAGGCACTAAGTAGGTATGTCACTGCTGTATAGATCATTCTTCACAGCAGTTTGAATGATTTCTCCAATAGTTTGTTTTCTCCCCTGTTTTGTTAGCTACAAACTGGTTTAAAAGAAATAGAAAGCTGACACTGAGAGTTGGGTGCATGTGTCTCGCTGAATAATGATGGAAGTGTTGCTTCCAGGAGGAAGTTACTGCATTATGTGAATGGCCCATATGGAGGCACTCCACTTGAGTATTGTACAGTTGGCTGAAAGCTAACAGTATAAAATGTTTTTTATACGTGAGCTAGTAATAATGGTAGTAAACCTAAATCTTATATGTAACCCTCCTGTGCTCTTATTGAATTTTCACTGTGTACTTATTTTATTCGTCAAACTGGAGTTGTTAACAAATCCATTAATCCCTTCTTTGATATTTTTACAACTGGGAGCTTATTTGAGGACTGACACTTGCTAATCTTAGCTGTTTGTTCACTATGAAATGAACTTAAATTAGAGGACGCACTTTATATGCATGATAAATGCAAGATGGATAGAGAGTGTATGCAATGGTGTCAGCTACAAAAGCAAACATGATAAATGTTAAGGCAGTTTTGAGCCGTGGGATAAGCTATTCAGTGCACAGGCATAGCTGAGTCTCTTTGCTGTGTTGTTATTCATGGCAGCCAAATAAATGTCAATAATAAAAGAGAATTAAAGATTTTCATTTCCCAGAGGCAGTCCTCTAATACAGCTTGATCTTTCATTTCATTTGTAATTCGTTCTCATGTCAGGATGCAATCATTCGCTAGGCTCTGTGTGTCATGTTAAGTCATTTAATAATGATTAAGAACATAAAAATGTTTGGCCTGTGGGGCAACTCTCGAAAGAGATACCAATTTGTTATTGTTTTCCCCCTTTTTCCTTCCTTTGGTGTGGATCATCTTTTTCCCACCTCCTCACATTAAAATTATAATGGAAGAAAGAAAATGTGTCCCTTGATTTAGCATATGGTATTACCACAGAACGGTATAAGAGTTCTGCTAACAGTGTTACTTTATTTCAACACTAATTAGGTCTGGTTGTGCTTTGAAACCTGTAGTGGAAAGTGTACAAAGTTTCTGAATGATCTTTGGAAGAATTATTGCGTTTAGAAGTTGTGACCAACAAAAAAATAATTTCCTTTTTGTGATGCACAGAAGAAGAACATTTTTTTTAAAAGAGCAGGTGCTGGGTAGTTATCTAACCCACTTTTCTGAGGAAGCAATATAGTCTCAAAGACTTTGTGCCTAGATTAAAATAGTATTTGCAAAGTCACCTTCTGTTTTATATTTTATCCCAGTTAATAGTAAGAACAACAACATGGTTATTAGTTGGAAGATGTTTCTGTTGGTATCCAGACAAAAGTCCCTACTCTTTCTTTCCTTCTGCTACTGCCTTTAGCCATGTTTCATCAGCTGTTGAGTGGTTAACATATTCAGGTGGTCTCAGTTTATGTCCAAAAGAGCATGGGATGGAGCTGGGGAGTACAGTTGTGAGAGTAAAAGACTCCAAGGTGAATTAGGCCTTCGTGGGTTTTCTACTTTTTGTTCCTCCTCCCATTCCCCACTTTCCCCATGGAAGTAGAAGTGATACTAGCTCTGGCTGGAAGAAGAGGAAATAAGATGTGTAAAAGGAATTGTTGCAGGTTTTCACATCATCTGTGAAAGGGCATAGCATTATAAGATGTGGAATTTCTTCCTCTGTCTTAGTTTTATGTTGTTTTGTTTTGTTTTTAATGTGGGATGAAGAAGGCCAGATACAGCTAATCATTACATGTGGAGAGGGCTGTGGTAACAGCTGTGTTTTCCTGGACATTCCAGAGAATGGAAGTATCAACAGGTATTTGAGAAGTAGACCATAGGGCAGAAAGGTGCAGTTTGTTACCAAAAGGAAAGAAAGGTCAACCAGAAAGTTCTGAGAATATAGCTCTTAAAGATGAGGGTACGAGTTTAGACTGAGACAGCTGAAACATGTGCTTCCTCCAAAAATCTGGCCCAGACACGTTGCAAAGATGTTTAGTCATGTTATGCATGACTAAAAAAAAAAAACTAAGAATAAACTGCAGTTTATTCAGTGTTGTTTTGATGCCTACCAAAAACACTGTTGGCTCACCTCAGACCATGAGCTGTAGGCACTGAGGCATGGATTGACAAGCAACTTAGAGGTCCATGCAACTGGAGTAGACGATGAAAACGGTGGGAAACAATAACTGCATCAGCAATCCCAAAATAAGTCCTGCCCTTTTGTCAGTCCACTTGCTGTGACTGCCTAAATTATTTGTTATTTCAGAGGAGAAATTTCTGTCTCTACCATAGAGTGCATTGAGTCTTTCTACTGTCTGTTTGTATCTCCTCTGTCACAGCACTCCAGCCCCAAGGCCCCGTTTTTCTCCCCTTCCTTCCTGTTTTCTGTCAGTAGAAATAATTGCAAAGAAGAGGCAAGCTCAAATTCAAGCTGAGTGTGATCAGTGTGTTTTATAGGGAAGGAAAGGAGTGTTTAGGATTGGCACACAGGAGCTGTGGCAGATGAAGTGTTGACTGAATTAACTGTTAGCTTCTAATAAGACTCCACAGAGCCCATGCAAATGATTGTTTTCAGATGTTTTCCTCTTCAGAACATAGAATCAGAGTGGATTGAGTTGGAAGGGACTTTTAAACATAGAATCATAAAATCCTTTAGGTTGGAAGGGACCTTCAAGATCATCAAGTCCAACCATTGAGACATTAGGGCTCTAAAGTCCTCTGCTAAAACAGATCAGAATCTGTCAGGGTTGGAAGGGACCACAAGGATCCCCCAGTTCCAACCCCTCTGCCAGGAGCAGGGACACCTCCCACTAGATCAGGCGGCCCAGAGCCTCCTCCAGCCTGGCCTTAAAGACCCCCAGGGATGGGGCCTCACCCCCCTCCCTGGGCAACCCATTCCAGGGTCTCACCACTCTCATGGGGAAGAACTGCTTCCTCACATCCAGCCTGAATCTGCCCACTGCCAGCTTTGCCCCATTCCCTCTAGTTCTGTTGTTACTTGAGATCCTAAAAAGTCCCTCCCCAGCTTTCTTGTAGCCCCCCTAAGATACTGGAAGGCCACAATAAGGTCCGCTCGGAGCCTTCTCTTCTCCAGACTGAACAGCCCCAACTCTCTCAGTCTGTCCTCACAGCAGAGCTGCTCCAGCCCTCGGATCATTCTCGTGGCCCTTCTCTGGACACGCTCCCGCAGCTCCACGTCCCTCTTGTAATGGGGGCTCCAGAACTGGATGCAGTACTCCAGGTGGGGTCTCACCAACAACCCCCCTGAACAGGGACATCTGCAACTAGATCAGGTTGTTTAAAGCCACATGCAGCCTGACCTTGAATGTTTCCAGGGATGGGACATCTACAACCTCCCCAGGCATTTTTTGATAATGTCAGATTTTATCTTTTTACTGAAGAACTTGAAGGCATTCGGTCTTCTCTGTGACCCTAAAAATTAGCATTGACAAAAACATTATAATCTTCTCTAGTATCAGTCCCCAACATGACTGAATTTGGATAAAACTCTTGAAAAAAAAATAGCTTGTGAGAGACACCGGTGATGAAACCTTTCAGTACTGATGATTATGGTTTGGGAAGGAATGATACTGGTAACTGAAAATAGGATCCATGGACTTTCTCACCTGACAGGTTTATTTGAGGAAGGTATTGGGTTAATGACTTGTGGGGATGGTCCATGCTGGGAATTACCTGGCTGTCAAGACTCTCATCCCACTACCACAGCCTTCTTTCATCATATCCTTCTACCCAGGCCTGAGATTCTAGGTTTGACTGGGGGTTCCTGATCTTTATAAGTAAATTCATTTTGGGTTTCAGTACTTTTTTCTGTGACCACAAAAATTCATATGTGGGGAAAGCAGGGAGAGTTAATGAACACATGCAGTCTCCTGATTTCTGCAGCTGGAGCTTTTAAGAAACACACCAAAAATCCTAAGGTCTGGCAAGAACATGTATGTCATATCTATATGTGTGCTGTAACATTTGTCAGAATCAAATGCTGTGAAAGCTATCCCTTTTACAGAGTTGCTCATAACATTTTTAAACAAATTACTTATAGTCAGATACATTTTATGGCTGGTCTTGGCCCAGAGGGAAATCTTTGGAAAGTGTGAGCAAA